TGAGAGGTATTTTTTATTCCCGCTCTTAGTGTGTGATAAGTTGAAGTGAAACAAATATACTTTGTTTTAACTTATCGCACCGTGTGTGCCATTTCAGAGAGTGCAAGAATAAAAACAGAGCTAAAGTCACACAGCATCTTTCATTTGTTGCAAAATGTAAATTTTAATCATAATATCAAAGTATTCCAGCGTAATGTATCAGATTTCTTCTTTTTAATTAAACTTCTTGCATCTTTATGTTTTCTCTTTGTTTCTTTAACATGGAGAGAAAAAGAGAACAAATAAATCTACAAGAAGCTGAAAAGAACAGGGGGTCGATTGGTGCATCTCGAAATGAAGTGAAAATTATAAAAATTCACTAGAATATTCATAATTTAATTGATCAATAACTAGTGAATTTGCTCACTTTTGACATTTTCACCTCATTTCAAGATACACAATCGATTCTCAAGTCTATAACAAAAGGTTTATTTTTTTAGCTGAATTTCTTGCATTTTCTTTCTTTTCTGTCCACGTTGAAAAAGAGAAAGAAAAAAACGAATCACAAAGAGAAATTCAGATTAAAAAAAAAGGTCTAAATACAGCGGTCTAATTCATTATGAACACTTCTTTGCTGCAGAACACCTGCAGGGAACTATGGACGATCCCAGAAGGTGCGATCGCGACGACGGCAGCAAACTACTATTCCCATGACCAGCCAAAGTACATCTCGTTTGGTGTAGTAACTCAGGTAAAAACGTACTATTGTAACAGCAAGTGCCTCTTGTGACTAGTTTTAAATCCATGAGTGTAATCGTGGCGAGAAATTAATAGCTGCGTTCAGCAGAAAAAGCTCATTAGTGAACGCCTAATGATTTTTAAATATGATTGATTTCTACACTTAGATCCAGCAAGAACCAATCATATTAAAAAATCAGTTAGCGCTTAGTGATTCTTTAATATGATTGCTTCTTGTTTTTAGTTCTTTAATGAATCTAATAGTGATTGGTTGCATTCAGTATGCACATTTAGGTGCACATTAAAGCTCTCGTACTCAAATTGACATAAAAATATATGTTTCATATAAGGATAAAAATGTTTTTATCCTTATATTAAACATATATTATATTTTATTGTGCTGTAAGTAAAATCCGTATTTTATAATTTAAACTATTTGCATCTTACTTTTACACAGATTAAATTATTGTACAACGGTTTTAATACGCACTAGTGCGTCCAACCGAAACTTCGTAATAAGTATACGTATAGTATAAAACTAAGCATAATAAAGAATTATTCTGAACGCTCCTTAATCAATTTTATCAGCTATACTCTTACGCAACACTGCGTAAAAGAATGGCTGCTTATACGAAATGTTGTTTCGTTATCTCCAGTTTTTTTTCGAATCAGTATTGCGCCATCCCGTTAAAATACTATCATTATGTATCTCTTGGGACGATTTTCGCGCGTTTTATTGTAATTCAAATTTACATGTAGTTCATCGAATGATCATTGTTGAATTGTGCGGGGAACGCTACAAACGAAAATGATAACAATACTCCTTTCGTTCAAACGATACTCGCGGTGTGGTGCCACCTACGAATCATCCATCCCGTCAGTTATCGTCAGTTATCGGTCTCGTTTCATTCGTTTCTATATGTTTGTTGTCCAGTATCATATATATATTCATATATGGCCTATCTATTTGTCGAAATATCCTTCTTTTGCTCGCAGTTCTTCGCCAAAAGTCGATTATGATCTGGCACATGATAGAGCAACTGCTGCACAAAGGCTTTATGTGGATATCTAAGAATGTATGGAGACAGGTACGCAAAAAATTTCCGTGGTGTATAAAACTGTGTGCAATTAAGGACTTATCTAGATAAACGTGCATAGCCATATAAACATACACATAAAAAAAATTATCCAATTGCATTTTTTTCTGCGACTTTACGACAGAAATTTAACTGGATAATTTTTTTTATGCATATATTATAGTTATACAGCTATACAAGTTTGTTCTGGACCCTAATAGCAATTTATTAGCGATGCCTTGGGATAAACGTTGGGATATATTGTACCAATATTTGGTCATACATTGTGCTAATAATTGTGCTACTAGAGGATAGACCTTAAACTCCAGCAAACAAGCTGACGATGGCTGTATTCCAAAATTGATTGCCGGTACTGAAAATCTATTGTGTACGCAAATTAAAGATTTTCAGCGCTGGTAGTAAATTTGGAACACAGCCATCATTTGAACGTTAAAATAACAGTAAATAACATCAGTTTGTTTATTGGGACATGACGTACGTTTGCTCGAAATTTTTGCTTATCATATTTATAATTTTGCTTATCGTATTTATAATTATTCCACGCGAGTGAATTAGGTTTTGAAAGTTCTTAATTAAACATCAAATATACGTTTACATTCGTCGATAAATTTTCTTCTACTTAATTTTTTAAGTTTAATGAAATTCGTTTCTAATCGCTACGTATTTATCATTATGACTAATAATGTTATCTACGGTAGATAGTAGATGTTACGTAAATAATTCTATGAATAAAAGTATAGGTATTTAACTACATATTCCACACAGTATTTGAACTTCTTACTGTTTTTCTGATGATTTCCAAAAGATTTAATTCTTCTCTCTGAATGGAAGTATGAATGTGTGAAGGTCATGTTTATCAATAATGCCTATACGCGGCAACATTCAAAAACTATTCAAAAATATATACATATTTTGATTAATATGATAAATTCATTACTAAGAATTTTATTTTAACATGCTACGATCGATCGAAATAATCCGTACGATAATACGTAAGTGGCGTACGCAGATGTAACTTTTTCTATCAAATCAGAAGTTGCGGTATTCTGGAGTACTTTGATTTCGTGCGCATTCGCTTCACTTCGTGCGTTATCGACTATTTGCAGGGATGAACAAATTTTTAGGGGTTATTTAGTGGCAGATAATCGAGGCACTGAACAAAAAGGCCGCGAATCAAAAAATAGGCTTGTTTATAATCATCAAAATATGCAAGTTCGCGTGATGTTTTAGAAAAATCTATATGCAATTGTTTTTATCAAGTTTCTTTATTTTACTTTTAATTTGACTAAAATTTTTTGTACTGTTACTAGAATTTTTGGGAAGAAGATTTTGTATCACAAAATCTTACAAACTTTGACATACTACTAATTCTAGATTTTTATTTTAATATATTGGCAAATTAAAAATTGTAGTTCCTTATAAGTAAATCTATTGACGTATGAAATTGCAATATCGTTGGTAGTCGAATATTATTAAACATATGATGAAAGAATACACGGTGATTTATTGCGCATAATGACGATCGAATATAATTTTGGAGCGAATTTCTTATTGATTAATTTCTCACAGTGGTTCTATATTGGCTTGTAACATTTTGATCTAATTCTCTGATTGATTATCGACTGCGCGAAACACCTTTATTTTTACATCATAATTGGGCAGTTCATCGTGTTGTCGAATTTCAAATATTTACGATGTAAAAGCTATGTGAAACCTCATGAAGGGCCGGGGTGCCAATAGAGCCGTCCCTGGCTCGTCGACAATCGCCGAATGAAGCCGAAGAGGTCTCGCCAATCGCATTGATCCAAAGTCCCACGTCGTTGTCACACAACACTGTCGTACGTCGCACACTGTCGGTGCTCTTTGGCATTCTTGTGTTTAGTGGGTTCAATTCTGGGACCAAGCGAGCCTATTCTGCCTATCCGACGTAAGTCCGCACTCCATAACGTAACCCGCATCCAGCTCGTGACGTGACTAACGAATCTGCGTGTGTTATCCGGCTGGGATCTGTACGTGTATGCTGCATCGCGCTTTGGTGCACTCTATCTGTAATTCCAAGATGGCCGCCGATGCTTGGAAGGTGTCCCCCCTTATGTATCGTCTGCGTCCTCTTTTACGCATCCCTCGCACACGCTTTCCATTTCATTTGCTTCAATAACCGCCTCATCCGATCGACGAGAGTCCACGCGCGTCTCGCTCTGTCTCGCGACGTCGCCGCGCGCGATTCCTTCGATTCCGAATCTCGCGATCGCCCATCGATGGCGCCCAAGATGCCTTCCCGAGGCGTGATGCGCCATCATCGATCCTCGACGGCGAAGCCACGCGCGCGCCTATGTTCGCGGCACTAAAGCAATTTTTTTCACCGCATCGCCTTCGCGTCGTCTCTTTCGCCGCGATTCACGCGATTTTCGGCCGCGTTACGCGTTTTGGCGGGATCGTGTCTGGAGGGCCACGAATATACGCGCGATTCGAGTAGGTGTGACGCAACATGAAAAATGCACGACTTTTTTTCGAGAGAGAGGGAAAAAAAAAGAGATCTCGTTGCGTTGTCCTTAAATATCCGACGCTGATCTTCTCGATCTCGGGTTCTTTTTTTTTTTATCTCTTTTCTCTACTTCCACTCTCCCTCTCCCCCCCCCCCCTCTTCTCGCGTAGTGGGCTAATCTATACGGTGTCTGTGACGCTCTCACGAATGCGATTGCCCACGTTTTGCAGAATTTTTTGAGCCGATGTCCACGTGGTTGTCGAAAAACAGTGTCATACCGCAAGCGTCATCCACACGCTCCTGGATATCGGCCGTCATCGAATTCATTTGGGATCAAGTGAGCCTGTTCCGCCTTACCAACGTAAGTACACGCAGTATGGCCCCGGTATAAGACTCCGGATACGGAGTTCCCTCCGGTGACTCTATTCGAAGCCCATATCACGCGAATCTGCTACGTATCGTTCTCGGTCTTCGACTCCGTTAATACTCGCGCTGCCGTTACTCCGCCATCCGTTCGGTTCGCGTTTGTCGACCTTATCGGATATACCTGCCTTCTCATCTTGTCGCACCTCATTTTTCATAAATTGTAATCGCACGCATGATGGTTCTGGCTCGGTTACATCAACGGTGTGGAACTAACCCATTTTCTAGACTAAAATATTCTAGATTAATACTGTATCCATAGTGCTTTCCATTTTCATACTGATTGTGAATATAAAATTATGCGAATATTTTATATCCGATAATAATGTATTGTATTTCCAATAATAATGTTACTACTTGATTACTTTGGTGACGAAGTTATCGCATAACGATAAATTAATACAGGTTCATAATTCATTTTTAATGTGAGTTATACCTGTTTCCATTAATGTAGATTAATTTTGAGGAGGTCTGTCTTCTGTAATTGAACTAGTACACACTTTTAGAACTAGTGCACACTTTTAAAGTGAAATAGACATATGTTTTTATGATTTTGGTGGAAGCGAGAAAGAAGTGCAGTTTAATGCAGGAATAAAAAACAGACTTTTAATCTTCTACTTATTCTTTATTTATTTCTAGTTCTAAAGCTGACTTTTCATGCGCAGTGTGTTGTGGCAGCAAAACGTTACCATTGGTTAAAAATTTTTTGTGAAATGATGCATTTCCAACCAGTTCTTGAAAATATGGATCAGATAACATTTTGTTGTCGCAGCATACTATGCATGAAAAGTTAGCTTTAGATTTAGAAAAAGATGGGAAGTAAAGGATTATTTATACTAGCTATAATTTGTTATCTTATGCCATAATGTGTACAAATTGACTACGTTTACACGTTACTCTTAATCAAGTTTAATATCATCTGTAGTTACGAAACTCAATTACAGCTATTGGTGAGTTCCATAACTACATATTTAGTCATTCTATTCTTGTAAAGAATGGAATGACTGATTAGCCATTTTCATAATTGCGGATATTATTAAACCTGATTAAGGATGTCGTGTAAATGTAGTCATTGATTAATAGTAGCTGGTTATTCTTCTCCTTCGACTGTAATTAAGTCAGTTCTTACAGATTACAGCCAGTATAAATGATCTTTAAGTCGAACCGAGATTAAAGTTAATCTACATTGATGGAAATGAGCATTAACTAGACTCAGTAAAGCACACAGTTCCTTGTACAAATAATAGATATAAGCTCAATTGAATCTCACATGTCAGAATGAAAAGGAACATGCATTCATACTGACGTATGATGTCATAAATGAAATTTATCTAAGTGTTTTTTTATGTAAGTGGAAAACAACTTATATAAAGCCTATATCGAACTAGAGATTGAGATTGGATTTCAATTTAAGCAATCAGAAGAAAGAAAAAAATATCAAGTTTTGTAAACTTTATTTTGATTGGTCAAATTCCAATTCAATCTCAATTTCAAGTCTAATCCAAGTTTAATACACAGCGTATTTCTTTTAAAGATCTGGGCATTCTAGGCCTGTTCTTTTTGGCTGAACTTTTGCATCAATTCATCTTTCTTCCTCTTCTTTTTTCCCGAGGAGAAAAGGAAAAAAGATGAACCAGTGCAAAAGTTCAGCCAAAAAGAACAGGCTTATTTAATGTTTTTTTATTTGGTGACACTATAATCGACGCAAACATTCTTGGTAGTCCAGTGAGTAATAAAGATATAGCGACACTTGTGTTAATTTATGACCAAATGGAAAGAATCCAATTAAAAGCTCAGGTAATAAGAACAAAGAATGAACACGGGCATTAGATTTTAACCTAAATCAGAAACCGTATATGAATGTAAAGAAATTTCTGGTAGTTTGAGATATACCTGTATTTTTTTAGTCTGTTTCTTTTTATTGCCTGTGATAATCATGTCTGAGACTTTAGTTTTTAGTGTTAACATGTGATTATTCTTTTAAATGTGTTAAAACTGTAAATATTTTAAAAAAATTATTTTGTTTCTAAAAGGATTTCTCTAATAATTATAGATTTATCCACATTTTCCTTATTATATGTTTTTTCTCGCAAAATTTAAATATATCTTTTATTGTTTTTATTAATGAAAGAAATAATTATCTACTAGCATAAGCTTGACATATTGTATGACAATAAAACAGCAATTTACAAAAATAAGAATCGACAAAATAAGAAATTAAGATTAGCGTTAGAAATTGAGTATAATGTTCATAAATTGAATTATGTTTGTCTTAAATGTCTGGATTAATAAGCGTAATTAATGAGAGATTATTTATTAGAGTTTTTCTCTTTCAGATTTATATTATTCTCCGAATCTATATAAGCAGGAAATGAAATAAATTAATGCAATAAACATTACCAGACGTAACTGTTTTCTTTGGATAATAAAAGGACAGAATCAATCTTTTCTTCTTTGTACGATATATGTTTCTCATATTTTCTACTTAAAATGGAGCGAATGTAAAGAAGCTCTAAGAGAGTATAGAAAGTGCCATATAAATAATACGAACAGACTTTACGACACTGGCGACGTTAAATCACAACATGCATCTTGCTTGTGCTATCGCTATCGCCTATTTTTCTATCTCCGCCTAGCTTGTGCACTGACCTCTTTTATTTTGCTTCTCTTTATAGAGGGTCTTAGTGAAGAACAAAAATAATCCTCGTCGAATATACACTATTTAAATCATCTATCTAAAGTTACTAAAATGTCCTAATACTTATGTCTATAAATCCTTTGCATTATGCAGAATTTTATGCAGAAAATAATA